GTGTGTCCAGGGTCACATGACAGCTGGACAGGACTCACGGGAGGTCCCCCGCGTGAGGTGGGGGTGAGCCGGTGACACGACCCTGAACGCCCCCAAGAATGTTGGAGCGGCTGTAAGCCAGTTTTTTCTCTGTGGTTTTGTTTTATTTTGTTTTTATTTCCTGGGGAGCTGACTTCGCGGAGCCCCGCGGGGTCCCTGCCGGCCCCGAGCACACGTTTCCTCCATCAAACTCTGTCAGGAGCGAACTATAGAAGCAAGAGCCTGGATTCGGGGGTCCACACCATCCCCCTTCCCCGGGGCGGACCCACAGACGAAGGCACAGGTCTGGGGGTGACCGTACTGTGGGGGCCTGTTGCCCTGGCGGGTGCCACGTAGGACATGCCCAGGGGCCCCACTGGAGGGCACGTCGTCATGAATTCACCGTTCAAATACTCCCCTGATGGTCGTTTCATGCGTCTGCACTTTAAGAGATGCTACCTCACATGGGGGTGGGCCTCGTCTAATCAGGTGAAGATCTCCAGGGCACAGACTGAGGTTTCCCAGAGAAGGAATTGTGCCTCATGTCTGCAGGGTCACCTTGTCTCCACCCTGCCCGCCTGCTCGACGCGTTTCAGACTCAGCTGCTCCGCCGTCGTCGGGAGCCAATTCCTAGATACCCGCCCATCATCTCCACGTGTATCTTTTTGTATCTATTTCCGGGGGCATTTCTGCAAATACGTATCTCTGCACATGCGTATCCGCATACATACTTCCCTGTCTCTTCTGTGTATATACTCGGATGGATACGGATCCACCTGTATGCGTGTCTATGTCTCTCCCTGTATATCTATTTCCACATTGTCTTGCTCTCCGTTAGCTTTGGCCTCATGAAGGAATCCAACGCCGAGGTGACTGGCTTCCAGAACGTTCCGCGGGCCCCCGGGCACGTGCACACCCTTCACGGCCACGATCACCTCCTGTTGGACTTGACTTGCCGGTTTCTCCCAAGACCCGCATCAGACGTGCCGGCCTCCGGGTCGGCGGGTTTCAGGATTCGCCCTGAGAGGTCAAGGTGCTCGGCTGGGGTGAGTACCCTCGTGGGAAGTCCCCCACCCCCCGTCTGTGCCGCACACGAAGGTGTCCAGGTCCTGGTCCACGTGTGCCGGATGCAAGTGTCCCCAAACATGTGTGCGTCCCAATCTGCCTGGGCTGGACGGACCGATGTCCCCAGAGACGTACACGTCCTGACGGGGGACAGAATAATGTCCCCAGAGACGTCAACGTCCTGACCGCCATGTTGCAGACTAACGTCCCTGAAGACGCCCACACCCCGATTCCTGAAGCCTGAGAAGCCTGCGCACATGTGAACTTCGTGACCAAGGGGATCCTACGGGTGACTACATTCGGGACCCTGAGATGGTCCCTGGACGGGGCTGAGCTGCCGCTCGCGGGGGCCTGGGGAAGCGTCCCAGGCCCACGTCAGGCCCCGCCGGCTGCTGGCACACGGACGTCTGAGTCAAGGTCGGGAAAGGTTCACGGTCAGGACCGAACAGCAGGCAACTCAGACCATGGGCGTCTTTGCAAAATATCATGTTCTTTTAAAGTAAAAAAATAGAGGCTATATAAATAAATGTTCGCACGATTAAAAAAAAAAACAGCTTCCAGAACGTTCCGGGGCTAGAAGCATCTTCGGGTTCATGTGCTCGCCGGGGCGACGCTGACTTCCTGCACGGTCACGATCTCTTCGTGGTCGATCTGTTCTGTATCCGAGGTGCATTTCTCCCAGATGATCTGAGGAGCAGAGAGAGAGGGGGTGCGGGTGTTGGGCTTTGGGACCCCAGCGAGCAGGGCAGGGAGGGGGGCCGAGGGGTGTAGACGGGAACCGGGGCCCAGCGGGTGGGACTGACTGAAGGGAATGCTTGGGAAAGGGACTCCCGGCATCGGGCACAGCACATGCAAAGGTCCTGGGGCGGGGCCTGGGGACCGAGGGCGGGAAAGGGGGTCTGTCCAGGCTGTGCGTGCTGGGTGGGGCCCTGGACTGGGGAGGCGGCCGGGGCGGGCGACAATACAATCATGTTATTGATATATCGATATTGATCGTTGATGAGAATGAAACGAGACGTCTGTCCAGCTCCATGGCGGAGGTGACAGAGCCGTGAGCAGCAGCATGAGATGCCCGCGGTGTAGACCTCGTGGTGGGGCGGCCCCGGGGGACAGGACTGCACGGCAGCAGCGGGAAACGTGGCCCCGGCCCCAGGGACGGTCGCACGAGAGTGAATACATGGAGGTCACAGCTGCAAAGACCCCTTGCGCCCCTTCCCTTTGGGACGCCCTTGGGCACATGTCAGACGCCATCA